TATATTCCGACAAGATTAACGCTCTGCTGCTTCTGTCACCGTTTAGGGAATTGAAAACTGTGAAGCTTTTGCCTGCGATTAATATTCTCAATTAGATGCCCAAGCTTACTTGCTTGACTCCGAACATTCTGTAACACCTCTTTTGTATATGCGGGGTATTTATTGCGCTGGTAAACATTATTTGACTTGTGTTCAACTCGACGTGCTGTATGCAAATGGTTAGGGAGCCAAAAACAACTTAATACATCAAATGGTTCCATTCGAGCCTTAAAATCAGACTGCAAGCATTGTTCTTATGGTACTACACTGATGGTAGTAGAGCACTCTAGGTCGACAGTCGATTCTCTTCTCCGAATGACTTTGTCAAGTAACGTTGAGAGTAGATGTAGTTGTAAGTCAAATCTTCCATCACCTACGGACCACTAGAATTTTTCACATTCAGAGCAAGATTTCACAAACACTAACAAAAGATTTTTTGATTCCTGTCTCAGTTCGTGGCTGCCTAAGACTTTAATGTCCGGTGAAAAAATTTCCATCCGTTACCTGATATGAATTATAAAGGGCAACGTCCTAGGTACGACCGTCTGGCAACTGACCGCTTGCAGCGGAAATGCGATGCTGCGGGTACTCAGGAACCCCCACGGAAAATTTTGAAATTTACGTATCCGCTTTTCAGTTTTACGCCATCGCGGCCAGATGCTAGCCACAAAGTTTATCGATACGTAAATAACAGTCAACTATTTGGAAGTCTTTGCCGGGGTATATGCGCACAAAACCAATATCTCATTTTCTATTTCTCGCTTAAGACCTTTGCTTTAGTGTTGATGCTCATGAAGCACGGCTCCCCATTTTTCATGCTAATTGAGTCTTTTTGGCCTGTGTGCGCTTGAGGGACAGTACAGAAGGTTAAGATTGGTTTTCTGAAGGACTTTTAAAGTGACGTACACGCGAATGACTGAACGGTAGTTGGCAGCGAGTTGTTGGGTTTCTCTCCTCGGGATAGATGTAATTTCAGCACGCCTTCAGACATTGATTATGGGGGAGCGTAAAGGCCGACATTGAACACTACGCAAGAGGCTAGCTGAAACCAGGAAGAAGAGTTTCGCAAGGATATAGGAGAAAGAGTCCAGCCTCGGACTTCATGTTTGCCTAAACGCAATAGATGTTTCTCGAGGTCTTTTAGCTCAGTTGTCAAATGTTCCATAAGATAAAATCACCTATAAGGGAACGTTGTCATGCTCAAACGGCCGTTTGCCTGGGGTTTCTGAGAACCCTGTATTACGAGTGCAGAAGGGGTTTTTATCTATTTATGCATGTGCATATCACGGCTTCCTCTGAGCATAATCACGCACTAGTTCCTATTTCAATGCTTGTGTATGTAGTTGTTGCGTCTTTTCGGTCAAGCCTTAGCCAGCTCGTCATGTTTATTCTCGTATTTGATCACTCTCCACAATTTCAGAACGTAGACTCCACTTTATACCCTCGTAAAAGTTAAGCAAGTGCCAAGTATGTTGGAACATCATTTTTAGCACCAGAACTTATCTCTTTTGCCACTAAGCCATGTGATCTTTTATACAGTCATTAGGCAGAACTCCTCACTTTTGGGGCTCATTTTATGATTGTGTAGGGCTTCAGAACTACTATTCTCTGCCATATTAGTTTTCTCCCTCTCACATTCAGTCAAACGTTGACCTGAACAATCGGGAAATCATATATTCCAGAGGCCAAATGTGTACACTTCGTAAAATCCCATGTACTTCTAAAATTAGAGGCCTTTTCGATCTAACTGCAATGTTTGACTACCAAAACAGCATAGTAGCTTTCTCCAACTGAAGAAACTGTACTATTTTGATTATCCCTCTACCAACTGACGAAAGTGACAAATCGGCGGAAAATAGAGAGTATTTGCGGGAAGTGGTGTGGGGGTTCTTCTATGCCGACCATTTGACCAGCGTAACCAGAAGTCAAACTTTCCAAAACTTCACCGTTCGAACGCTGATTTGTTCAGCGTGCTTGCGGTGAGTGTGGGGCATACATGAGGTGGTTTAAACACTAGACTTGACGATAGCACGGCTCGATTTACACAAAGGATTACTTATGTCACTTATTTCAAAGTCCGTACACCGCTTGCCAAACACTTCGGTCTGCGCACAATGGCCAAGGTTTTAGCGCAAACAAGAATAGACTGGCTCGGATCCTATCTGTGTGGCAGAGCCGTGGAGGCCATATTATGCGGCCATCGCAGCCTGCCTCCCTCCCTATAGGAGCGATTTATCCCGTCAGTTGGCAATCTTCTAAGCCACAGCTTTCAGGGAACCGTGATAGTCAAAAGGTGAGTTTTGCTGTTCATAGTAGTAACTCGCTGAGTGCCATAGGGCTGAGTTCCCCAGTCGATCTCACTCTCTCTTCTCCCAGGCGCCTGCACACCTTTAAACCGGCCAGTCAGCTGAAGCAGGGATTAAGAACAAGGAGCTGACAGCCCCCCGGCGCGTGCCACATACGATCGACTCGCAAAACAACACGCCAGGTGTTCACATAAAGCGATGCTCGGCTCGAGTCTCACATGCATTACAGTGCCGCCGAGGTCACATTAAGAAACCATGGATTCTGACTCACAGTCCGCCAGTGGGCAACTCCAGATAAACACATGCAGGGCCGGCTGCAGGGTCCAGGTTGTAGAATCAGTTACCAACGCTCCAACCCACGACGGCTAACTTCGTGATAGATCCAAGCTCGTCGAATTTATCAGTTAGAAGTGCACTAAAATATCGTGATGACGGGGCCTCCAGCGTTTGCCATACTTCCTCTTTCCTCTTTGCACCAGTCGATTGTCCGTGCTTGGCAGTCACCTGGTGCCGGGTTGGGTGAAGTGGCTGCCAGCTCCGCAGTAGCCCACCTGCGTACCACGCATGGCTTGGTTCGGCACCAGATTTTGCCAAGTAGGGCTCTAACGAATGAAGCCATGGTATCTTTTGATATTGCGTTTTCTTTTGCTGCTACTTCCCAGGATCCGTTATTCAAGGCCATCAAGTCACTCCCAAGGGTAAATGGGACGGCAAGGACAATCGTCATCGAATCATTCTAGTCCCGATAATTGGTTCTAAGGCGAGCTTTGTTTTCAAGGGAACGACTTTTAAAAAGACGGAAAACATACCGAGGCTACCATGAAACGATCAGATTGAGATTCTAGACCCAGTATGTGGATGAAACCTTCGTCGTTTACAAGCAGTCAGGTGCTGACTTTTGAAGGTCATATCCTCTTCACCTTCTCGGATACATAAGTTGCAATGAATAAGAAAAAATTAACCAAATAGCATACTCAATGTGCTCACTTATCACAAAGAGTGTTATGCCCAAAAAACGAAAATGTTCAGGAAAACGACAAGTACGACGTAAACGCCGAAATCCAACCAAACCTGCCGAATGGCTCACATAGACAACGTGTGAAACCGTCCTACCGGCAATTTTAGGTACACCGCTTTGCACAGGGAGGGAACGTTCGAATTTAAATACCCTCAACTTTCGGGCCCAAATTTTGGCGAGTGCGCCCCTACGTCAGGAGCGATTCGAAGTTCCTCTGTCGTCTTCTAACGCCGGTCAGCACCAGAACGGTGCACAGACTAAACGTCGCCTTGCGATGCCAAGTTCGAAGGCCGAAAGGTGCACTGTCACTGGGGTAAGCGCGAGGCACCGTTCGTCGTGTTTCGTGCAGCAGCGGGGAAATCAGCTACGCATAACGAGAATGGCCTGACAGAAACATCGAGGAAGAATTGCATGCATCCTCCTTCATAGGTCACTCGGTGGGATACGGTCCACGCCTTTAAGTTCGACGACGCAACAATCTTGTTAGTGGAGAGCCGTCTGAGTTATGGTTCTCCGGTGAGCAACGATCACCACGCAATTACTCCCTCGCCCCATAAGCAGCGTCAATGCTGTTCTGCCAAAGTAATTACTGACAGTGGGCACGCATTTACGCAAATCCGGATGATGATACAAAAGGGTAAAATGCACGACTGTCACAGCAGCCGCCAATACTGGCAATGAAACTTCGGCAGCTAGCCAATTGCGCGTGATTCTTCGCGTAGACTATGGATATCCTTACTGAATAATCGTCAAGTGAGGGCTAGAACGCAGAATCCAGATCAATATGTACGCGGCCGCAAAGCTGCTGCATCCTAAAAAATACTACAGCCCCCGTGTCTCTCTATCTCTTCGATATTTGGTTCGAGCATAAATAGCAGACCTTAAACCAGCAAAACTGTCATTTCAGCGACTGAGCACACAGCCTTGTTGCTACCTGAACTTCGCTTTTACGCACGTACGGGCACTCTGCTCATCCCTTGTTCGTACGAAAAAGTTGCAATTTTGCGGCGGCTGCCTCTTCATTGTCAGATCTAACGGGAGTGAAAGTTCTGGAACCAATGGACTCAGGGATCGTTCATTATGCGCTCCGGAATTCGATTCAAAGATAAGCGTTCGCAAGCACAAACCCCTTTTTATACCGATGATACTGACTAGGCCTCATAAGAAGCCACCGCCGACCTAGGTGGAAGCATTAAAATACACTACAATAATTCGAGAATATCTAAGCGGCGCAAAACAGTGTCACAATGTTAGATTACCAGTCCAGAACTATCGAAGGTGAGTAAATGTGCAAGGAATGGTGTCTTTTCCATCTTCAGGTCGGTGGTTTAAAGCCTGCACCGAGATCCCACAGGTTTCTGGCCACGGTAAACATTACAGCTGTATTGAAGAAGGAGACACGATCGATCCTTCTTCAAGACTACTTCCTGGGACTCGGCTCTTCGCTTCTATTACAGCTGTATATAGTCACAAGCCATGAAGCATACGATTGGAGTAAAAATGATATGATTTTGCTCTAGTCACATAAAATGCTCAGATGTATGTCAAAGTCAGGACCTAGGGTGTAAAGACACGCCGTCGAAGACGAAGAAACCCGTAGAGACGCTTTTGTACATGATTGCAAAAGGTTGGTGTTTTCAGATAGAGTCAGATGAAGAAGCACTGGCAGGCTGCGTCACCTCCATAACGCGAACTTTTCTGGGGCTGGAGACCGAGGGATCAGAATTACCCTCTTCCATCGAAGAGGCCGAAGAGGCCGCGGGAAGGAGAGGGCGCTTGCGGGAAAGGACGTCAGCATTTTGGCGCGCCGGCTCAACCAGCCGCGTGGGCCGCGCACTATCACCTACTGCAGCACGAGATTCCAATCGACGGATCCTGTGCAGGAAGAAAGTCGGTAAGAAAGACTTCAGAAGGTGGGTAAGTATTTACATTCCCGCGCTTCCCGCGTCTGGAAAGCGCTCTAACTGTGGAAGGGACTATCCGTGTGGTTGGAAAAAAGATCTAGAGAAAAGAGGGATCCGGCTAACTCAAAATCACCCTTGAAAAGTCATCAGTCAACCATTAACACATGGCTTAAAGGCTGTAGTCAACAAGACATACGTGGAAGCAAGTGACCTGTGATATGAAGCGAAACGTGGGGCTAAAGAAAGAATGTGATCACAACGTTGAAATAAACACTCCTGACCGCAGGCATTGAATCTTAGACCTCCCCTCCCCCTATTTCAACTAAGTCAGTATACAGCGAGGTTTCACACCAGTGGGCCGGGGCGGAGGGTTAGGATGGAAACTTAACAGAGCGTTTAACGCCAGCACTCAAATAATCATCAACAGAAAAACAACATACAATGGTGTAGAATTGTACTTTCTAGGAAACGTATGGGATACGAAGGAGGTGTAGTCACTGGGACAAACTCGGGACTTGATCCCTCAAGCAGCCACTTCGACGCCTGCATTCGGGACCAGGTTTGATGTCAAAACGTTCACATTTTATTAAGCATTCGGGTAAGACCTACTTTACTGCGTACGGTCTGAACCGCTGCTGGTGGCACTGACTGGGAGCCAGTCACTATAATTTTAAGATTAGCACCTGTGGCAAGGTCTGATAGTTCTATTTATGTCCCTGCTCTCGGTTAATCAGGTCATCCAACCCAAGAACTTAGTACACCGTCTGATTTTCGCGACCGTAGCCTCTTCAGGTACAAACGACTAGGTAGGCTTCCAACAACCATATCTCTTGCAAAGTAGTTGATGTTTTAGTCCATGATCGCGACTTCACTGGAGCCATTACGAGTGGTAAGCAGACGATAAGATAAATGTTCACGCCGGTCTTCATGGCTCCGTCAACATACTCCGATAGATAACTGATTGTTCATCGTTATGGCACCGTCTACAATGACCCTCTCTCGCAGAGACCATGATTTTTACTTATCTAGTCGGTTTCAGTGATGTCGGTAGACCGGCACCTTCAGTTAAGGTTCTAACTGCCTGGCCTCAAAGGAAAATGTCCAGTTGTCTCCTCTTTTGTGACTGACATAGGCCAGCAGGCTGCATAGATTCAAACGGCAGTTCCCTCGTTGCATTATCAGCTGGTAAGCGGACTCAGGCAACTTGAATTAGCCCCCCCAAGCAATATATGGGCTGTTAACATGTAGAATTCACTGTTGTCAACAGTACCACTCTAGACAACTTTGACCTTAGTAACTGTGACAGCCAGGTCGACGGAGCTAGCAGCTTAACTCAAGTGTTTGACATTCCACTTCGGGTCCCGAAACAGATAGGGTCAGTAGGCTTACAATTGGCTGATATCTGGAAATCGCAAAGTGATCTGCGGAGTATTTACTCAGAGATACTTGGGCAGGGTCGGAGAGAGAGAGCAGTCTTGAATTTGCCTTACTCAGAAACATATCATTTATTCTATTTTGCGCCTAAATACACAGTTAAATAATGCACACATGTAGGCCTTCTGGCGCAAATTTTCACGCAATTTCAGAGGGATTTATAAACGCAATAATGAAGGTTTGCCGGAGAGCATCGGTTCTTGAGGGCAACCTAATCCCTTTGAAAGAATACAGGGGAGTGAAAATTTCAGTTATGTTACGTGGTCCAAACACGCGTGAAAACTGCATAGGATGCAGTCAATATATTCCGGATCTCTTTATTTATCTCTTTATTTCTCTAGACAAACTGATGGTCGGTGTACGCATTTAATTGGTGGAAGGTTGGTTCGACGTTGACACTACTACAAACAAGACGGAATAATTCAAAAATGAGATGACCCTTCTGATATTCTCATATTGGGCCCTTAACATTTTGGCCTGTTTCTGATGGTATTACAGGCTCTGAATGTCTCCTCGTATCACACTCCTAGGAAGTTCTACGTAAGACGCGGCTCGTGTGCGATACAAGTGGAAGTCAGATACTCTTTTGTGGGTTTTTCGGCTTAGTCTTAGTTTGCGCTGTTGCAAAGGGTTTTGGTGAACAGCCATCGTCATATGATGGAATACCGACAAAGACAAGGGAGACCGGAATGGCCATTTCTGGCTTATTAGTCGTCATCATTTGATCAGTGAACGCCACTTCATCATTGTCTGTCAATTCTTCTTATTGAAGCTTTGTTCCAAAAAACAATCATACTGCTCCTGTAGTGCCTCTTTACGCTTAGATGGGGCAACAAGATTTACACTGTAGATGGCGCAACTATTAGTAGCATTGCAGTACACGGTGATCTTTAAGTAACCTCTGTGCAGTTTCCGTACCAGATGATTTTTAATATCAGTTAAACTGCATTTCTCCGAAATCCATCCAGAAACTGGGTGCTCGCGTTAATTAAACTCGAGGCAGACAGTAGTTCGTCTACTTGCTGTCGAATTCAGGTAACAATACCTTTGGGAGGCTTTGGAAATTTGCATGAATGCTTGTGTAAAGTGTTGAATATGCCTGAGTCACTCTACCTTGAACGTAGTAGTGTCTGTACCACGCAAACTGCTCGCGCGCTGGGGATCAGTTTTCGCTGCGGAGAATTGAGTTGAAGTAGATGTATCATTTGTAATCACGATTCATATTTGGGCCACGCAACAAGAAATGGACTCCCAACACTACCGTATCTAATTAAATGGATGAAGCCACTTTCGAGAACGGACGGCAACCCGATACGTCCACGGGTGACGGCCTGTCGCGAACGTCAGCTGCGGAATAGGCAGGCTCTGTGGTCTCACGAATAAGCAGTCGCCAACCCGCAACGACAACCTTGCCAGACTGTCCTTTCTAATTTCCTCGGAAAGTAATGCGTAAACGTGGGGTAAATCCTTCGGGAAACAGTTTTTGGGCTCGGTCCGAAACTTGACATACTGCAGCTGAAATCTACCAGGTACTGTGGAATAAGCACGTGATATTCATAAGTCGCCAACAAGCGGTCAGGTACTGGCTGACAGTTCGACCGTCGCGGGCGACGACGTCTACCGGAGTGGGCGAAGCACCGGCGACTTGCTCGTGAATTAGTTTTTAATGAGGTTAATTTGCGCAGCATCTACCACACTCTATCCTCTCTCTCTCACCTACCAGGCTTCAGCGACAAGACAACGTCAAGACAACCGATGGTGGGTTCAGACGCGGGCGGCTGACAAAACTAAACAGCCCGTTTGCACGCGCCACACACGACCTGGTTCCCGCAAAATGTATACGATTCTCCCAGAAAGGGGGGCCCGGATTTCACGTTCAAAGGACTGTCATAGAGGCCAGATGAAGGAGTTATTGAGCCTGACTCCAGGTCTTCGAGACAGTCACCCTAGTCATCCAGACAGCAGGCAGGTACTAGCTAGACGTCCAGACACGCGTGTCTCGCCGATCTTGCGCGGCTGCATGACGCAGCTGCGGGGGGTTCGGTCCACCGGTGTGTCCCCCAGCGTTCCCCATGTGTTTTCTGACATGTAAACGGAGGGCCGAGCTCGGCATGCCGACTATCTTATAAAATATCCCAAAACCCAACCACGGTGCCGTAACAAGGTGACTGTGAACCGTCATTAAGTAAGTTTACCAGCCACCGTTGTTGTGCGGTTGGGTTATTGAGCCAAAGCGCTAGAGGGGAAGGAGTCAAGCAAAGAATCTGAGCGGCTGTCGAAGATCCGCTTGCGCTTAAAGTGTCCAAGAAACCACATGATAAAGTTCCCAGCCAGACATAAAGACTGATGCCATGATGTACGTAGGAACCAACGCGTCTCCAAACCACGGTGCGGGCAAATAGTATGCAAGCAGAAGTATTTAACCAGTATTGGGTGCTGGTGTAAGAACGTTCATCGACCCTGGTACGAAGTCTGACAGCACACAGTCTTCGTTAGTCCACTGCATTCACCTACGAAGACTACGTCGCCAGCACAGGGGGCGGAATTCGAGAGTTTTCTCACTTTTCTCCCTATGACGAATATTTTTAGGGAAACTTCTGGATCGTCCCAAAATTTGTTGACATTGTCTAGAACAGTCTGGCGAAAATAATCTGAGAACGCAGCGAATGAAAATTGCTAACAAGGTAGGGTGCCGGTAAAGGCTGCCCAGGGCAACTGGCCGTGAATACAGACAAAAACCAAAAAGCAATGTCACTCACCTTTGGGCCTGCGCAGCCACCAGGGAATGCAATTGAGCGTTGCGCTCCATAAGGTCACGCTGGCCACGGGTAAGCTCCAAAAGCATGCTGCGCATTACGCTAGTCTGTGCTACGAGTCGAGTCACCTTGGCTTCAAGCAGGTGCGGTTCGTGAAGAAGAGGGGTGCGGTAATGCAGGTCGTCACAACAATGGTCAACGACTGCAGATGTTGTGCCGGTATCAGCCGAGGCGTTCTCCGGACAGCCCATAGAAGCGCTTTCAAAATCGTCATCCTGGACGGGAAGGACCAAAAACGGGGCATCGATTATCGGATAAAGAAACAAAGAGAGGGCACATTATCTTGTTCTGGGCCCTTTTTTCCATTCTTTTGGATGCACGGATAAGAACTTGACGCGCTATCTTGACTGCAGGGAGGGCAAGCGATTACAGGAAGATCACCGTTGTCGACCCCGTCTTGTTACGTTGTCCCTGACTGAAAATGTCATTTGGCTGCCAGGTCGTCACGTTGATGATGTCTGACACCACTGTCTTTTGAGGCCAGAGGAGTCAACTTCCCATACTGCTGTCAGTTTCCAAACTGTGTAGACAGGGGGGCTAATGAGCCAACAATTCTTCTGGCTGACTTATACCTCGCACAAAAACATACCATGTGCGCTTTGTTGATTTATGCGCGTGGGTTCGGTGTCTGGCAGAAGGCGTTGGCCGGAGTATGACTGGCCATTTAATAGGGCTGAAACAGCCGCTATCTCAGCCCCTCCGTTGTCTGTATTGATTTACGCCGGACATTTTCTACCTGGTTGCTCTAGAAACTGCGATGTAACCGTGTGTTCGCAAGCACTATCCCCAGAGGCACCGCCAAATTGCTATAAAACATCCGACTGTTTCGCGCCAATTCCAGCAATTACACTAACTTTGGCTGCCAATGCCTGACATGAAAGGTAATGGCAGAAGCTGAGGCTTAGATGCTAGAGTGCCGCACAATAAGCTGGTGATCATGGGTTACTGCTTGGCCGAAGAGTCAAAGGTACCCCAACATGGTGCGGTAATGAGCGGCAAAAGCGCCGGACAGCGCAGGACGGAGCACGCGCGTTCGGCTTCGGAGCTCCGCCCCAGCGACCTCGTGATCGGTCGCATAGCCACGAGGAATTATAACTAGGAAGTGTCACCGGCCGAGACAGCAAATAGGCCGTAAATGGGTCTCGTAGTCACCCTTGCTTCAATCAGTGATACTTCTTAACTGACAAAATGGAAATTTTCAATCGAACCGGAAAATGTTTCAGCGATTCTTTTAGAATAGCCATAGGGGCTGGCCTCATTTTCGGACTCTATTGAGAATTCTAGGAGCGTAGGCGAAACGGGTGGCCAGTAATGACCTTTTGAGAAAGAGCAAGCGTGCTAACTGAGCCTCAGGAAAGACCGAAAGTTTGGATCCAAAAGGTGCAAAAAGAACAAAACTGTCAAAAATCTATGAACTGGGAAGAGGTAGGAAAGTGCAGATAAGACTAACCACCCTCGATATTCCAGAGAGACGAGAACTATTCGAAGAACGCAGAGAACAATCTCCGATAGAGGAAGCGCATCCCAGTTTTTCCAATAGGGCTGAGTGAGATGACGGCCTGTTAGGCGGAAGTCTAAATGATTGCGGTGAAACCATAAGACGAGCCGCAAGGCCGTTACTAAATTTGGAATTAAATAGGCCTGGAAATCAGGGAGAAAAAAAGGGTCTCATAAATGGTTTCTGAATTTAAGTTAAAAAAACGGAGAACACATGCAGCAAGACAGGCGTGACGTTAGTCACTAACAAATTATAAATAGATACCCGTGGTAGCTGTCATGAGTTGCTTATCTATTTTAAAAGGGATTTGGTTCAAAACAGGCGTCATCGTAAGGATTTAAAATGTCGAACCGCTCTATTAAGGGGCAGGAATCACTCGGGTTTGGAAATGCGACAAAATTTCGATGTCAGTATCAAGCCCGTAGAAGAGCAAATTAAAAAGGATGAATATCGAAATTGAGTTAAGTGGAATTTTTGAAAATATGCGAGGCAATTACAGATGCGTCCATAACTGATGATCATACTCAATTACCTTTGGCCGCATGTATACTCGGAAGAAGTGCCTCATCAAAGTACTCCATTGCCATAGAGGATATATCACGAAGTTCATGGAGAAATTCCTGCGGTCGGGGAATTGTAGAAGACCGCTTTAAAATACAAAACACATGCCGTAGCTCGTCCAAAACTTTCCCAGGAAAGAATGCGCAGTAGCCCTCCTCCGTGTAGCGCATAATGCTCATGTCCAGCAGGGAGACACGTGTTTCAATGGCAGAAAGAACTTCAGATCGGCTATAGGAAAAGTTAGATGAGATTAGAAGAATTACCCGGAAAGTGGATGCTTTCGACGTTCAGATTCTCGTCGCGGCAACTGCTGTTTGAGCTCTTTCCTGTAACAGAGTATCTGCTCTTCCAGCTGGCGAAAGGCACGCTTCAAAATTTCCTTTCCGATGCAGTCGAAAAGACGGCAAACCTTTACAACTGGATAGTAAATTCATAGCTTGATTCACCTCTCTCAGCCGACTCACTTCATGGTAACTCAAAAAGGTGAATATACGCTCTAAAATCTCTTCCGGCAAGTCTGTCAGATGTGGCTGACTGACACTCATGACGATGCGTAAGGTGCAGTTTTCAGAACTAAATATCCTGTAATATCAAGAGCTTTTGTTTAAAATAAGCAAGACAACCGGTAAAATATAACAACAGAATTTAGTAAAATATAAAATCCCATGAAAACTGCCAAAAATTGATCATCTTGAAGATCAAGGTACTCGTGCGACAGGAAGTGGATTCCGCACGGACTCGATAAGGCTTTCAGAATTTTACAGGAAAAAATCTTTATGCACTTAACGGAAAGTCAGATAGCGTAGAGAGTCCGTGTTAACAAGTTGGTCAGTAGAGAAAAATAGGAGACTCCGATACTAATTTAATGAATAGCAATGCAGTTAGTAATCAGACGGCGATCCGCAGTATGGGTTGCATCTTATTTTAAATGTCATTAGTGCGGAAACTCTCGAGATATTGACACCTTTTTAAGCATGCATATTTGAGCAAATGGAATTATCTGCACACAAGAAAGACTTCCCAAAAATATTCTGTCTTGTCAAACATTTAATTTCGACAATACGTCATTTGAAATAAACAACCCTATCCAACGGATTCTAGTCAAGTGGGAATATGCATGAGCTAATGCGCTGTCATTTCATAACTGGGTCGATGTTGGGAACTATGTGTTTTTTTAAGTAAAAAGACATGTACATGTGCAGCAATAGTGGGCCTTAATTACTGCAAATACTTTGCTGTCGGACTAATGGAGAAAAAAAAACAGAAATGCGATGGCACACTTAAGAAAGTGGTAAACATTATGCGGGTACCAAGCTGTCGCAGAAGTTCGAACAGTTAGATGCTTCATTGTGTAGACACACCACACCGGGATTTACCGTAATGATGTGTTTGGCAAACAAAAAGAACTTTGTTAACGACGGATGTGCAGAGCAAGCAGCTACCAACAGTAAAATAGAATGAAAGTACTAGCATGCACCAGCCCACTTCCGTACATTCGGATGTGCCCGAAGCGTCCATCTCTACCCTCACGGCACTCGGGATCAGAATTATACGCAGGCACTAAGCGAGAAATGAGACCGAGGGACTCGGGGTTGTGATACCAAACATCAGCCGTCGCTTTCTATACCAACTTAACCTATAGGTAAAACAGTTATACTGAAGATATGGAAAGTGGTTACCATAGTGGTCGCTGGAAAAGCACTGCAGGACACAGGAGTTACATGAACCGTAGTTTACGGATCACTCTATGCGACCTGATTACACCTTCGAAAACCGTGAGCATGATGGTCTCGGAATGTATGAAAACCACTTGAGCGTTCAGCCGTTTGAACGAGGTTCAATAAGCTAAACTCGCCGAATTAATAAGCGCTCCTAATTAGGCTATCTAATGATCGCGCACGCTGACTGCTGAAAAGTGTCTATAATTGAACAAACTTCGCTAACCGCGTAGCGCATGATTATTTGCATACCGCATTCTCCAAACAAATTGTACTGTCGTATGTAATTTACTGCCTCCGGTTACTAGTTCGAACCCATTAAAAATGACAGACAAGTAAGGCCCACAGTTGAGCAATCCAATCTTTACCTCCGCTGCCAATATTGAGAGGTTGAAGAACGTGCCGAGGTCTGTGCCGTTAAAACGAGGCCCCAAGAGTTAGGAAACGGAAAATGTAAGCGGTGGATGACTACTTTTGAAAGCTTGGAAACGTACAAAAGGCGTGATTGGATCCTTAAAGTGCTGGATGCAGAAAATCTACTACATATAGAAGGTTGCTCAACTCCGTAACTAGGCGGGTTTGAAAATTCTTCTTCGTTTTAGAAATATTATGGGTCCGAAGGCATGCAGTCAACGATGCTTGGACTGTTTACAGCATCTACCGTGACATCGTTTCGGATAAATTATCTAAGGACAGACTAAACGGCGGCTACGAGCAAGCGAACAGTTTCGTAACTCAGGTCTTGTTCACTGAACCGTGCAGGAAATAACCAGTATGAATCTGTGCGGAAAAATCTTCCAGCGTAAGAAGCCGTCTATCATAAAACAACTTTTTGGCAACATCAAAGCGTGGTTGGCTATGGTCGATCTCACTCTCACCTATATGTTGGTGACAATGTTCAGCGGCAAGACTGAGTGAAAATTCAACTGGGAGCAATAATTAACGGCCTACATCCTCCGGTCTGTGTGTGGCGGGACGTCCATGGTTTGTCTTTAACGTTAGACAGGAATACGCATGCTTAGGTAATCGCATCCGTGGGAAAACAACAAATAGCTCATGCAAATCCTGAAATGCTTGGTCCATCACATGAACTGACAGACACGGTGTTGACATTCTGTATGCTCCAGATTCGTGGAGCCATAAATGGATGTCTTGAGAATCCAGTAAATAACGACCGATGAGATGCGCACATGAAGGCGAGAAGATCAGAGACTGCCTGTGCTTTTTGGTAAACAAGGGAGAGTAAAGCACGTGAGACAAGCTAAAGTAGAGAGCCTCCCTTCAGGCCGGCAACTGCCTCAAATACCGTCTTTAGAAAGCCTGCTCATCGCAGGCTGATGAAGCAAGATAGGCATGGTGACTGCGACAGACGTAGCGCAAGCCTTCCTCTCAATAAACAACTCCCGAGTAACTCGTGCGTGTCTCCCTCGACTCGACAGTGGAGGCCATCAACGCTTTCAACGTACAGAACACCGTTTTGACCACAATTTTATCCAACTATCTCTGAGGGCTTTCAGCCGGAGCTTCGATGCAAAATGCGACGAACATATCTCGCAGTGCAAAAAGTAGTTTACATTTCCTCTCCGATTTGAACCGGCAAGATAACGAGAAAGGGTCTTTATGGTGGCATGCATCATTTTGTGTTGGACGACCAAATAGTTCAGAGCCGATCCCCATGTTATCCATGCCTGAGTTTGGACTTATAAGCCAGAAATGGTCGATCCAGTCTGCCTTATCCTTGTCGGTATTCATTCTGATGCTCTTTCCCTTTCTGGATACCCTGGAGGATCGAATCAGCAAAGACACGTTGTCTATGGTTGTCTTCTGTGTTTATGGGTAGAAAATAGACAGGGCACACGTGGGTACAGACTCGATCCAAAGCTACATTTTAAGGAGTTTTTCCAAGGTCTCATCGCTACGAATGGAGAAGCGCAAGTAAAAAGTCATATTTGTTTTCCGCTACCAACAATAAAATTGACGGCAAATCAAGGGATTGGGACTTGGCAGACGCAGGAGTGTGGATATATAAATAGGTATACAGTTACCAACTCAACAAACTTAATCATTCTGCATGACGGTCTGAAGGATGCAGAAACAAGAAGGGACTCGCAAAACGTCATCCCCGCACCCAAACTGCACACAACTGAAGTAGCTCTTACAAGCGAAACCCCGCACAATGAAATTCCAGCGACTTTTTCTCAGTATTGTTATTTAAAAGAACACTTTATTAAAGTTGATTGAGACAGTAAATTAAGAAAATGGAAAACGTATGTGCTTTTAGTTATAAAATAAAACGAAGGCTCTCAGGCAAACGGCCACGCCGGCAAATAAGCAGGTCGTTAAGTTTGGTAGGTTAGAATCTTCTTAATAGACGGCAGGCAAAAAGTAACATTGCAAGGCCCCACGAATCTGACTGGATTGTTCGAAGCCCGCATTTTCAGCGCGGATCGTAGCCGCGAGTCGGTGAAAATGGATGGTGCCCCTTCCCCACATAACCACAGACTCTATTCCCTGCAGCTGTGGGCAGCGCTGTGTCCCCCACCGGTTGTTTAGCAAGCATGTTGACGTCACTTCCTCATCCAGACAGATCACCTCCCTCACGTAACCCATCCTTTCTTACACCATCAGTTATTATATATACAAATTCCCATCTGTTCCTATTATATGTATACTTGTGCTCATCAAATTCCTTATCTACCACGTTCACTGAATGAGTTCAGTCATCATTGCTCAACAACTCTCGTTCGTTCTTAGTCAGGAGTTATCCCTAGTGCTTCACGTTACCACGTGTGCTAACGTCAACGTCCCTGGTCATTACAATATATAATGATGTAATGGGTGAGCCCGAGTTGCCCTTATACAACGAATTCCCGTGGTTTTTAAGTAAAAAGCGTCGGCGAGTGTGCGGAGAATCCAAACTGTTTACGCGCTATCAATGCACGCAGTTTGAAAATGTGGTCCTCGGATGACACATGTAAACAATTTTTCGGATTGGAATACGCAAATGTTAGATTTTTAAATCCTAAACTCGAAACAGAGTTAGAAGACCGCTTATTAATACGAAAGCTCTTCTAAAGGATTGGTGAACGTCGACGGAAAACAAAGGCAAATCTAATTTCTATAACACCTCTGGTTTACTTGAGCAGACTAGGCATCAGTCCTGCGCATTTTTAACTGAGCCCTCATCGGTCTGACAGACAGTCTGAGCCAAGTCCCATTGAGCCACTTCATTTAGAGAATAGGTCTTTTGACCTTGAGCCACCTATGCATATCTAAAAAAGCAAAGAATCAATTTTACGGAAGTAATTCTAAAGTGTAAAGTCATTGGTATATGTGAGCTAGGCAGAAAATTTTCTGCAGCATTAATGCTGTCATCGGTGCAATGTTGATGGTGTGTTTCGTTTTTTCTTAGCAAATGAGTGTCATGTATGTTTCCGATTGCCTTAACAGTATTCGAGAGTACCACTGCAGCAGGGAGTCTTTTCCAAGTTCCATCGAATTTCTGCGAGGCGTTTCGTCGGATGTCCATGTGGGAGTATTTCCTCCGCAAAATGAAAAAGGGGCCACGCAGACCGTCCTTTCCAGTCATTCCGAGAATTCTTCGGTGCTTAGGGCATATACAAAAGGTTTTCCTCTTAAAAATATAGAATAGCATTATATTTTAAACGATAAACCGTCTCCACTGACCGCTTTTATCGTCGGTTTATTGAGAATTATACTGTTATCTATTTTATCCTACATAGCCTCATTATCCAATTCGGATTTATTTATAGTTCTGTTTTTCCACCTACGAAATTGTCATTTACCCGTTTTTTAAGTTTGCATTC